AATCATTACAGATGATGAATAGGTGCAATAAAAGCCAATATTCAATTTTTCCAATTTACATGGAAAGAAGGCCATAATATATTGTTAAGGGGAAGAAACAGCAGGTTACCAAACAGTGTATATAATATGATCTCATTTTTGCAATATATTTGTATGCATAGAAACAGTCTGGATGGATTTATACAGAAATGTTACCAGTAGGACTACAAGTGATTTTTATTATTTTTCTCATCTGTATTTTCCACAATTAACATGTATCATGACCGTAATAAGGAAAAGTCATTATTTTTAAACTTCCTTATGAATCATTTAGATTCAACCAATAAATGCTGACTACCCACTATGTGCCGGGCATGAGAATTAGTGCTTTCAGAGGGGTCAGCACACAATTTCAGTAGATTTTGTTGATAAACAGTCCGCTTTCTTGGCTGTTTTGCAGAATTTTAGACTCCTAAGAGGCGAAAGGGCTGTTAGAGTTTATCTAATGATTACATTTTAAAAATTTACCATCTTAACCATTTTTCAGTGTACAGTTTCGTGGTATTCAGTACATTCACAATGTCGTGCACCCATCGTCCATCTTCAGAACCTTCATCTTGAGAAACTGAAACTCTGTGCCATTAAACAATAGCTCTCCCTTCTGCCCTCCACCCAGCCAACTGGCAACCACCGTTTTACTTTCTGTTTCCATGAACTTGACGATTCTAGGTATCTCACATAAGTGGAACCATACAGTATTTGACCTTTTGTGACTGACTTTCTCCACTTAGTATAATGTCTTCAAGGTTCATCCGTGTTGTAGCATGTTGCAAAATTTCCCTCCTTTTTAAGGCTGAATAATATGTATTATACCATACTATAATGGTAGATACACAATGAAATGTACCCACAACATTTTTTTCATTTATCTGTCAATAGACACTTGGTTTGCTTCTACCTTTTGGCTATTGTGAATAATGCTAAGAACATGGGTGTACAAATATCTTTGAGACCTTGCTTTTAATTATTTTAAGTATATACTAATGATTAGATTTTAATACAATCTCAGATTTAAAATCAGAGAATATTTCTGAGAGTTGCTGGTGTTGTATCACCCTAAATATCTGCAGGGCAAGTTGCTCACGAGTTCATGAGGCAGTACAGTACAGTAGTTAGAGAGCGTAGGCCTTAAATTTAGACAGAACTGGGTACCAATTCTTGCTCCACTCCTCACCACTGGATGGTCTTGGGAACATTAATAATCTCTTTAGGTCTCAGTTTCCACATCTATAGAGTAGAAATAATTATATCTATCCTGTTGGATGGCCGTAAGGGTTAGTTGGATAATTTACCTACAGTACTTAGTACATAAAAAATGCTCAATAGAGTGTATATATAATCAAAGAACTTTTTCTTTTTTTAAAAAAGGAGGATCTTATGATGAACTCAAAGCTGCCTACTTAAAATGTCTATGTGTTAGTTCAAGTTCTATTTGCTAGAAAAACAAAGATCATATCTAATCCACCTGCTGTAGGTTGATGCTTCAGACATTCGAAGAGATTTCCATTGGGGACTCATCTTTGGAAGAAAGGGAGGCCATTTTATTTTATATTTGTTTATGAATTTATGTGCAAGATATCTCTTTTGCATTTATAAAGCTCAGGTATTTGCTTGGCTGACCTTTGAATTTTTACTTCTCTAAGGGTATAAAGCAAAATTTCGTTTTCCCAGAAAACTTTGTCTGTAATTCAATTAATACAAATGTCATGCCTTATCAAAAATTCCAATATACAAAAATTCAAGCTTGCCTAGCAAATTATTAATCGGTAGGCCACTGTTCAAATTATATCTTTAAAAATTCCAGTAAAAAATTCCTTTTCTGAACTAATGTCTTCTCAAAAAGGAGCTTTTTATTTTTATTATTATTTTTATTATATATTATCTATATATGTCTAATGTTTTAAGTGTTACTATATCTAGATGTGTCTAACATTTTAAATGGTTCCAGAAAGTGGTTCTTTTTTTTTTTTTTAAGAGTTAATATATACACCTAAAAATTAAAATATTAAGAACACATGATTTTTACCCAGGGACATATAGAAAAATACAACAACTTCATTATTACAGTTTCTCACAAGACAATTCAGGAATGGCTTTCTTCAAGCCAAACGTGGCAGGTGTCACAGCGATAAAAAAAAAAAAACATTTAGCTGTTGTCCCTATAATGCCAACTATTTAACAGAAACCAAAAAATTCAGTTCCAGATGCCAATATTGGGTCTACATGACATCATTCATCCAGATGCGTGGAAAATCTGGATTTTTAAGAATTGAATTTTTGTGGTCAACATCATGAAGACTCAGTTTATGGGTTAAATAAGGCATTTGTGAAATAAAGTCATATTGGACTATAACACGTTTTGATTATAGAGAAACATATTGAATGGAACACAGGGTACAATTTCTGTGCTGTGAATCACAGCTTATATAAAAAAAATACTATATAAAATACAAACAGGGCATTTCCAAACTGTATTTTTGAGGTTTTTGATGAAATAACCTGAGCACACTAGGGCTTTGAGAAAAGAAATCTATCCAATATTAGAGCCAGTGTCTCTAGTTCTCCTCTCCCATCAAACTTGAACAAGTGAGCCCAAAGTACCAAATGAAATGTTCTTTTATTTTAACGCATTCGAGGTAATTATTCAACTTCAAATTCACCAGTTAAGTATTTGAAGGTATGGGAAAATAAGCAATAAACTTTAACAATTTTATGGGAGGTACTGAATAGGAGATGTTAATCCCAGATGCCATGTAAAGGCCTGTTTCAGAAGAAAGAGTAGAAGTGGGAAATTTAAGAGTTAACCTTCTCCCTCCCCTTTTTGCTCCCCCTCTCCTCCCAGCTGCCTCCTCTGAGGCTGTACTTTCTGTGACCCTGCTCCAGTGTAAGGAAGGCTTCAGATGCAATGCAGTTTAACCCATGCTGTCAACACAGCAATAAACTAAAACCCTTTACAGAGAGAGCCAACGGACCCAGGAAGGCAAATCTAGCCTGTTCAAAAGCACCTGGTCATAGTCTTACAAACAAAGATGAGTAGTTATAAATCTGGCATCTGGAGATTACGCACCCAAGAATATGTACAAAATATCTTGGAGAATTTTTTTCAACCACCGTGCTGAGAATCTCACAGAGAAAATATCTTTATGTCAATTATGATAATATATGGTCACATTCTAATTAGGAAATCAGAGAGGAGTTTCTTTCCAAACTTGAATCTAATTCTATTTCACAAACCTCTAAATATCTCTACAATCATTATTACCTTTGAACTACAAAAGTCTTTTATTGTTTCCCAATAAACAGCAGCCATTTCAAAACTTTTAAAAGAGATTTTTACTCCTTGATCTATACTAGCACAAAGCACAACTATCTACTGAAAACCAAGCTCTAGATGTTCTAGCATACTCTTTTCTCAATCACCTACCTCAAAATATGACATTATATTTACAGCCATCCCCTCCCACCCCACTGCACCTTGCTCCCCAGTACCAGCATAGCCAGTAATAAACACCTCCTATTTCTGCACCAACCCCAGCAACTTAATGTGGCTCATAAACTCTTTCTTTTCCTTTCTTTTAGAAAGTTTGCCAGGTTCCTGGGGATCCTGTAATGAATACAGAAGAGTGGCTGGTTCTCCCATTCCCAGCATGCACTCTGATGTCGCTGGCAGCCAGAGCTGACATTCCAGTTTCAGTAGGGGCCTACTTCTGTCTCCTTGCATGTAGAGAGACAAGGATTCCTAGAAGAGGAGACACACACCATCGAGCACTTCGGGAAACTTTCTTGCTATAGCAAAAGCAGTTCTGGTCCAGAAGCCCTCCTCTTCTACCCCCTCAATACCAGAAGCAAAAATTGCAGGCAACGTTTTCCACGATTTCTGAGAACACACGGAAATGTGGCTGAAGGGCCAGGGGCGGGTGGGGTCGGGAGGAAAGGAAACCGAACAGGGGCTGGGAAATGCAGCCTGTTGTGCCGAAAGACAAGTTACAATGCACCTGATGAATAAAACAAGCTGCACTACATACGGAAAAGATGAGAGCGGCCCACCTGTGTCTGTTGAGGGATATTTACAAAGCTTGGATCCCGTGGTCCAACACTGACGAATCGATTTGCGGGGGAGGTGCTGGGTGTCGAGTAGGCTGTGAAGGGAAGGGACACATGCGTTCAGGAAGCAGCACGAGATTGCACACACAAACAACACCAAAACACACGGTCTCCGAGCCTACGCAGCTGATTAACAAGGAAATGTGCAAACACTGTAGCTAGCAAAGGGATCTGGCTAGCAAGGGCATTTAGACAGTCAAAAAGGGAAGGGGTATCCACTTCCAAAGACTGTTGGAATAAAATGATGTCAAACTGGTGCTCAGCTGAGCTCTTTTCTCTTTTCATCATACAAATTAGAACATGCAGGACATTTGCAAAGTATACTTTTTGAGTTAAACATGAGCTCTTGGGTCAGAAAGAGATATCCAAGTTTGTAGAGCGCAGAGGGAAAGAAATTAGGTAGAAAGGGGAGGAAAGCAGATCATTTTACAACCTTGCTTTTCACACTATTACACTCCAAAATTTCTTGAAACATTTCTATGACTCTATAGCTAAATATCGAAGAGGAGTCTTTACAGAAGGAATTAAAGGGTTCTCCGGGAAGGACGTGGCAACCCATTTAGGACGAGCTGTCTTTACAGTCTCGGGAGAGTGTCTAGAATCTTTATGATGCTCAAAATGGGCTTAAAACATTAACATTTGTGGTCTTCCCATCCTAGAACCCTTCCATTCAGGCACAAACTTCAAGACCCCATATAAACCAAGATACCACACTGCAATCTCAGATACCATACTTCAGTATACTATCATTTTCACAGTACATATTTTGTTGTTTTTATATTTATATTTAAGAGCTTTATTTTACTGAGAAAAAAATTCAGCTGTTCATAAATCTAAATGTACATTTTGTTTCTTGGTGTCCTACAATTCACTTCTTTACCACAAACTCCAGGGGTTTATTCATCTTTTCTTTGTACTAGAATTTTTAGATAAGCTATTGCTTAATTTCAAATTTCTTCACATTACTTGTAAATGCCTCAGATTTTGGATTAACTCTAGACACACATCATCTCAAAGGTGCAAAGAATTTGCAATTTTAAAAACACAGATAATTGAAGGAATAATACCAAATTCCTTTCCCAGATTTGTTTTTCCTTATTGACATCATTTGTTTCATTTACTTTGATTTTCTATTTTACCGAAAACTGCTCAGACTTCTTGTTTCCCTGATTAAACACATCTCGGGATAAAATTTCCACTAATCTAGCCCAAGTCCTGTTGGTCATCTTTGGGAAGAGCTATGTCACCTACTCAGATCTGTGACAGTCATGTGGTGTGGCTGTGTTAAACCAGCACTGAACAGAGGATGAACATGAGATGAGGGTCCTCTGACGTCTATTAATAAGAAAAATTTTGTTGTAGTATTTGTTTTAGAAGGATTTGTCCAGTAAAAGCTTTATATGAAACCATCTAAATGTATGATGTGTTGTACTATCTAGCAGTGTGAATCTACTGATTTCTTCCCTGGCCCATCCTATGTCCGACTAACTTAAACAGATTTGAGAAATATTTTTGTATTTAGCCATTCTGTGTTTACCTCTCACTCAATGGTATGAAGGAAAATTAACTTTTTACAAGATCAGTAAAATACTCTTTATTAATTGCTTCATTCAGTCTATTGCTTTAATGTGCTTGCTACACTTTAATAAGTCTCAATGGAAGTTTTATATTGAAAATGATGGACTATAATTACCTGGTAGTGAATTTACCTGCTTCTAGGGCACAAAGAAGATGTCGGGGAGATAAGGAGGAAGCTAGTAGATGAAATAATCTATTAAGCCTGTTAGTGGTTAGTGGGGAAAAAAAAGTGTTCTTTCACACATGAACAGGTAGGTAGGTTAAAAAGGAACAAAGGGTGTCAAGAAATGCTAAGGTACTAAGTGGTCGATGACAGATGCTGAAATGTGAGTCCTTGGTTTGATGGTCTTAGTAGAACTGTGTGCACAAGCCTGCACTGCTCACTGCATAGAAGCAGAATTTCCTATGACACTTTTACCATAGTGGTGATGTCAGAAACAAACATGCTGATTGATCCCAGGATGCATGGCTTTTTTTTTTTTTTTTTCTTTTCTAAACTTTTTCCCCCCATGACGATAGTTCTCCATTGACCATAATAATTTTACCAAATCTGGAAAGGTCTGTATTACATCCCATTCTCTATTTTTGTCTGACTTAAATGTTGCCATTTGAAAGGCTTAGCATACAAATAATTTTGCCACTCAGAATTACCATGAGGCTAACAATTGGATATTTTCCCTTCTTCAAGCACAAGACAAGCTTTGCAGTCTTGGTTTCAAAATATCTCAGAAAGCCTTTAATATTCTCATAGGCTACTAAAACTGCTCCAAAATTTGTTCTGGTTTTTAAAAAAGAAAGCAATGGTGAGAGAGGTGGTAGTGTGTTTGCATTTAAAAAAAAAAAAAAAAAGGATATTACAACTACAAGAATCTGTGAAGTTCTGAGTACCCAAGTTATAGAAAAGAACAAATGGTGCCCAGGGAAATTTATTCTAAAGAAAGCTAGTTTCTAGAAAAATCAAGGACACAGGAAAAACAAGGGAAGGAAGAAAAGTTCTGACTCATCTTCTATTATTGTAGCTACAATAGGCAGACTGTTCATCTATACAGGATGTAGTTCCAGAAATGATATGACATAAGTTGAATTTGATTTCCCCAAAGAAACAGTGGAATAAGGGAGTTATACTATTGAATGAATACCTCAATTGAAACTTTTTATTAAAACAACCACATATACCATAGTGAATCAATTATACATGCACAGTTAAGAGCTTTCAATATGAATATAAAATCAAATAAAAGGGGCAATGTGGTAATTAATTATATACAACTCTGTTTATTATTCTATTATATCACATTCATATCTTTCTTAATTATAATTCTTGCCTTATTTACAACAGCAATAATCAAATTTTACAGGAAGAGCTTCAGGAAATCGTAAAATCCAGAAAGTAATTTTCTGAGAAGATTATTTTAGGTATTTCTCAGGATTCTGGAGGAAAAATTCAAGGATATTTAATGATTTTCTGATAAAGTCAACAGGGAAATCAATTTGCTTATATAATCTCATTATAAAAGTCCTCATGACAAACATGACTATTAGAAATCTAATTATTGATTATTTGGCTGCTTCTGAAACAAAGTGTTTGCTTTCTTTTTTTTTTTTTTAGCAGCCATTTTATGTACATGAGCAATATCACCATGGACCTTTTTTTTTTTTTTTAACATTATGGAAGAACATTACCGTAAGATGATTCCAACAGCTTTTATTTGTACTAATCTGATCATATTTTCCCTCTTTCTAATGTATTTCTTCACATTATCCCAGAGTCTTAGTTTAGTCTTACCCACAATGATAAGTATCAAAATTCCAAACCAGAACTTTTCCTGTATTCAGAAAACTCCATTCCTCTGTTACCCACTTACCATATGCACTGCTAATTCTACAATCCTTCACTTAGGCAGTACAAGTCTTGATCAGTATAAGCAGTTGGGGGAATGGTTCAAGAACAGTTCTTTCTTTATAAGCAACAGTTATACAGGGTCCCTGAGGGTGCTGGAATCTATCTCTAGGGGGACTGTTGGGTGGGCAGAAAGAGTGGCAGAGATCGCCCATTAACATTGCTTTTAACAATCATGCAGGTGTTCCCTGGGAGAATTAACCTCTATGTCTTCAGAAGTGGATGTAACTAACTGCTTGCAAACCAAACAGCATCTCAACTTCTGTTGTTCCTGGGGTGTCAGGTTTGGTTTTGTTTTTCCTTTTATAAATGAGAAGGGATAAGGGATGAATCTGGAGAAAAGAATCATATTTCCAGATAAATCAGTTGTGAGTCTGCAACGGCCTTCACCGAACAACCATAACTGACCACAGTGTTAAGAAGGTGGTCAGATTGTTTTGAATAAAGATGCTTTGAGTTTTCCTGTTTGGGGAAGAAAATGACTAAAGAAAAAGATATAAAGAAAAATAAGTTAAATATTTGTTCAAAAGTCATTTGGTGTTTTTCTAAGATAAAAACCACATCAATGAAGTCACTTAAATCTGACAAAGTAGAAAATGTGAGTCTGCATCACTTTTTTGAAAGTAAGCAGACCGATTCAAAGTCTAGTTCAAATTGAACAACCACAGAAATATATGTAATAACTGAAAGGCAGAAAAGGGAGAAAATTTAGATAGATTTCTGTCTGGAGTGTGAGTATAAAAGCAGAGCTGCCTTGTAGATCAAGCCCCCTCTAATGTCCACAGAGTGCCCACAAGAAGGCTGAGTGACCAGTTCAGCTGGGGCCGAACTGCCTGAGTGGAAAAACGGCCAGCTCCTACACAGCAGGTAGGGTGGAAATGACACAGGCACCTTGGCAGAAAAGAAAATTTAAGAGACCTGGTGAACTCTGAGGTTCCAAATTTACTTCAAGACACAAGAGCCATGAAGTCCCCTACAAACTGACATGAAGTTTGATGAGAGATTTGTATACTCTTTCATCAGAGACTCTAAGTATATGAAAGGAGTGAACACCCCTTTCTCCATTCCCTTAAACTCCTCCAAGTCTAACCTCTAGAGTGCATCAAAGAGAGATATTTTGCTATATTTATATTGTCTCTCTCTCTCGGGAACTCTTGACCTGTGCCAGGCTCTCTACCGAGCATTATGGGAGATGCAAAGTTAAGCAAGACGCACTGCTTTCCTCAAAATGTTAGAGTCTAACGAGAGAGATGAGTACAGAAAATTAAAATATGAGTGCCTAAAAGTCATATACATAAAATCTTTGGGGTGTTAAAGGACAGAAAAGTGACACCTGGCAAGAGAACAGAAAAAGCTTTAGAAAGGAGGTGGAGATGGCTTTTGAGACAGGCTGTAAAAGATGTGTTGGTTGACAGGTTCAGATGGATTATGGGTCACAGAGGAAACAGCATAGCAAAGTAACAGAGGTAGGAATTGGAGGCATCAGTTGTGGAGGGAAAAGAGAAAAGAGGAGACATTGCAAACTACATTTTGCCATACAATAAGGGAAGATAAAAT